ACACACACACACACACACACACACACACACACACACACACAATTATTGCTCTGTTATTAGAATATGCTGACGTTTTACTGACAGCACCGTTTATCATACGTGGGTTGGATTGTGATCTTTCCATTCATGAAAAGAGGACAAATCGTCTCTTGAGGGCCCATATGACCCTGTGAAAGGTCATTGAAGGCTGTCGGCCTACGTGCTCGTCCTCCACTTCAGAAAGCACCATGGAACCAAAATAAATAAATAAGTCCAGTCTCACTCTCTCACTAGATGCTGCTGCGGAGTAAGCTGGTTTATGTGGAGGAGGGAGATGCAAAGTGTGCTCTTATATTCAATTATTTTTATGCTCATGTTTTTTTTTTGGGTCAGTCCCTGGAGATGTTCTCGGTTCAGAAAAGACCTGAACAATACACAATTTGTCTTATTTCCCGGCATCAGATCAGAGATAATCTCCTTTGTTGACATTCGGGTGAAGAAAGGTCCTCCTCCTCCTTCAGGCCAGCATGTTCCCAGAATAAGACAAGCTAAAAATACATCCACAAAGTTTTGCCTTACAACATCAAAGTTTAGGAAAGACTAGCCTGTATGGACACTGATAGGAGTTGTAGTGGAGATCCCCGTGGTTTCACTGGCTGCGATTGTAGTAGCTTTGGCTAATCTAATCATGACACCGATGCAGATTTGTGGCTGGACAGCTGCAGTGCCTTGTTGTTTGTCTTTCATGGAGTCTTGTCTGTTCAGGGATGATCTTCAAAGTCGTTTGAAGGTAGGCAGGTGGTGATGAAGAGCTTCTGACAGGATCTGGTATAGTAGCAGCCTAGCAGGCCATATTTGGTAGTTCTGATGCTACTGTCTTGTCTCGGTGGGTTAAGCGAAAGAAACTGTGCATTGGCATTCTACAGTGCTGATACTTAAGTGCTGTTGTTGTTTCTTCATTTAATATTGATCTGTTAATATAATTAAAATACTCACGTCTCTGCTCCTGAGAATGTTGGCACGTGTGCCGACAAAACTGATTTCTGCCCCCTTCATTCCAGTCGAACATTTAGAGCTAATCAAAATAGTTTTCCATTTTTGGATGTGGTTTTTTTTGCGGGACTCATCGGGTCCAATTCTTGTTACATCCTCCCTCCCTCTCCTACTGTCTCCTCTGGGCACTTCAGAGGCTCAAGGGTTTACATGTCTGTCCTCCCTGTCCACATAAGAATCTGTGTTGCTCTCAAGGTTCCAGTGTTATATTGGCCCCTTGCTCCTACTACTGCAATATTGCTGTAAGATGAGCTGGTTTTTCCCCTCCCAAAATACCCCCCGTCCCTTCATCACTCTTTTCTGTTGAATTGCGGTCTTCTAAGCAATAGCTGTTAAGCATCAGTATCTCTTTCTCTTGCTCGCTGTCCCATTTTTGATGGATGAAACACTTGGGGGATTTGGTGTATGTCAACATTTAGGTTTACAAGGGACGGCTGCAGTTTATTGTGGAAAGGATGCGTAATGGATTTGGGTCCCAGGCTGTTCATTAATGGCACTTCAATTGTACATTGGAGCAAAACCTTGAATCTGATCTGTAGTGCTGTCATTTTGCTGACCGATCAACGTCATTGATCGGATCCGCAAAATAAGACATTAGAGCAGACGCAATCTCGTTCGGCTGTTTAAATAGATTGATCGATCAGATCGGTGATCGGTTAGTGTATGTTTTTTTGTTGTTTTTGTTTTACTCTGTCACGAGCTCCAAAATCTCTGTCATGCAAAGCCTGCTGCAGATAGCTAAAAATTCTGAAGAATCTAAAACTCCAAACATCTTACGCATGGAATGCAGCTCGTGATTTTGGTGTTTGGTTTCGTCCTTAGTTGGCGACAAAGTACCTGCAGACATCAGGCTGACCTCCATCAAGTCAACTACGTTGAGAGTGGACCAGTCAATTCTAACAGGTAAAAACCATTAACGAAAAAGAGAGATTGGCTCTCTTCTCCATTGAATCTTTCTTGGAACTTGATGTGTGGAAAAGTCCACTTGCAGTTAGGTCCACTTGCATTTTCGGATGCATGTGGTTAATAATCCGCTTGCTGGCTGGTGCAATACATATTGTGGTTGTGGAACTGTGTATTTCTAGTGTTTTGTGTTGGGGTGTGTTCGACCAACTTTTGCCTCTGATAATTTCTCAAATCAGATTTATCGGGAATATTGTCAGTCAATCAGTCTTTGTAAAACGTCATTTACATTACACCATTTAGTTGGTGGTGCTGCCTTGACGATTTTACAAAATCAGATCAGGCGGGATTGTTTTGGATTGGGAACGTTAAGAAATTATGATGGCTTATTTTCTTCGTTATGTCATCCCCCCCCCCCCCGCCACCCTTTAAATACACAGCAGCCATTTTTTGTGATGATGTATTTTCAAGGCTCTCTCAGCCATGCACACCCGTTCAACTAATACCAGTAATTTGAGTGACTTTAAACCTCGATTGAGGTCCCACATAAAAAAAGTCCCTGCTTGCCTTGGCGTTTTGTCTCGTCTTGATGTGTTTCTTGCTTGCGTGTCAGATGAGAGGTTGCTCCTAAAACTCCGTCCTAGTATTAGCCAGACTTTAAACCACGGAGCACTCAAAGGGAACTTCAGTGGCAATTGTTTTCATGCATATTTGGATTTTATTGATTTATTTTTAAATAGGCTGTGCAAACAGTTGTTCCTCTCAACAGCGCCTTGATAACTTTGTTCCACTTTCCCCCGTCAGGAGCGAAATGCAGAAAATGCAATTGAAGCCTTGAAGGAATATGAACCAGAAATGGGAAAGGTGTACCGCCAGGATAGGAAGATTGTCCAGAGGATCAAGGCCAGGGACATTGTACCTGGGGACATTGTGGAGGTTGCAGGTAAGTTTACGAGGGGGGGAAAAAAAAAAGATTTTTTTTTCTCTGTAATATTTGAACATTTTGGCTTGGGATTTATTTCCTGTTCAAAAAGGAAATATACTTCCTATAAAGACAAGCACACACGCTGCCTATTCCTCTTCAGCATTTTACTGTCAGAAATGTCTGTAAATAGAACCGTTATGTAATAGATTAACATGTCCCAAACTCCTGCCTGTCCATCCCACTCCCGCATAATCTGACACACACACACACACACACACACACACACACACACACACAATTATTGCTCTGTTATTAGAATATGCTGACGTTTTACTGACAGCACCGTTTATCATACGTGGGTTGGATTGTGATCTTTCCATTCATGAAAAGAGGACAAATCGTCTCTTGAGGGCCCATATGACCCTGTGAAAGGTCATTGAAGGCTGTCGGCCTACGTGCTCGTCCTCCACTTCAGAAAGCACCATGGAACCAAAATAAATAAATAAGTCCAGTCTCACTCTCTCACTAGATGCTGCTGCGGAGTAAGCTGGTTTATGTGGAGGAGGGAGATGCAAAGTGTGCTCTTATATTCAATTATTTTTATGCTCATGTTTTTTTTTTGGGTCAGTCCCTGGAGATGTTCTCGGTTCAGAAAAGACCTGAACAATACACAATTTGTCTTATTTCCCGGCATCAGATCAGAGATAATCTCCTTTGTTGACATTCGGGTGAAGAAAGGTCCTCCTCCTCCTTCAGGCCAGCATGTTCCCAGAATAAGACAAGCTAAAAATACATCCACAAAGTTTTGCCTTACAACATCAAAGTTTAGGAAAGACTAGCCTGTATGGACACTGATAGGAGTTGTAGTGGAGATCCCCGTGGTTTCACTGGCTGCGATTGTAGTAGCTTTGGCTAATCTAATCATGACACCGATGCAGATTTGTGGCTGGACAGCTGCAGTGCCTTGTTGTTTGTCTTTCATGGAGTCTTGTCTGTTCAGGGATGATCTTCAAAGTCGTTTGAAGGTAGGCAGGTGGTGATGAAGATCTTCTGACAGGATCTGGTATAGTAGCAGCCTAGCAGGCCATATTTGGTAGTTCTGATGCTACTGTCTTGTCTCGGTGGGTTAAGCGAAAGAAACTGTGCATTGGCATTCTACAGTGCTGATACTTAAGTGCTGTTGTTGTTTCTTCATTTAATATTGATCTGTTAATATAATTAAAATACTCACGTCTCTGCTCCTGAGAATGTTGGCACGTGTGCCGACAAAACTGATTTCTGCCCCCTTCATTCCAGTCGAACATTTAGAGCTAATCAAAATAGTTTTCCATTTTTGGATGTGGTTTTTTTTGCGGGACTCATCGGGTCCAATTCTTGTTACATCCTCCCTCCCTCTCCTACTGTCTCCTCTGGGCACTTCAGAGGCTCAAGGGTTTACATGTCTGTCCTCCCTGTCCACATAAGAATCTGTGTTGCTCTCAAGGTTCCAGTGTTATATTGGCCCCTTGCTCCTACTACTGCAATATTGCTGTAAGATGAGCTGGTTTTTCCCCTCCCAAAATACCCCCCGTCCCTTCATCACTCTTTTCTGTTGAATTGCGGTCTTCTAAGCAATAGCTGTTAAGCATCAGTATCTCTTTCTCTTGCTCGCTGTCCCATTTTTGATGGATGAAACACTTGGGGGATTTGGTGTATGTCAACATTTAGGTTTACAAGGGACGGCTGCAGTTTATTGTGGAAAGGATGCGTAATGGATTTGGGTCCCAGGCTGTTCATTAATGGCACTTCAATTGTACATTGGAGCAAAACCTTGAATCTGATCTGTAGTGCTGTCATTTTGCTGACCGATCAACGTCATTGATCGGATCCGCAAAATAAGACATTAGAGCAGACGCAATCTCGTTCGGCTGTTTAAATAGATTGATCGATCAGATCGGTGATCGGTTAGTGTATGTTTTTTTGTTGTTTTTGTTTTACTCTGTCACGAGCTCCAAAATCTCTGTCATGCAAAGCCTGCTGCAGATAGCTAAAAATTCTGAAGAATCTAAAACTCCAAACATCTTACGCATGGAATGCAGCTCGTGATTTTGGTGTTTGGTTTCGTCCTTAGTTGGCGACAAAGTACCTGCAGACATCAGGCTGACCTCCATCAAGTCAACTACGTTGAGAGTGGACCAGTCAATTCTAACAGGTAAAAACAAATACGGAGACTGTTTCTTCACCCAGACTAAAAATATTCTTGTATAGTTGCTAGTTCATATGGACCTGGTCAGGAGCCAACCCAGGATTCCCCCCTCCTTTCAAACTAAACACATATGGGAAAAAAGAAAAAGATTTGCCTCCTTTTGACGTACATAACCCTTAAGTCATCCTGTAGTTATGACTACGCAGTTAATTCCAAACAATCAAACATGAGAGATGTGGATGAGAGGCATGTGAAATAGAGTGGTGGGTGGATAATTCAGACAGCAATGGAAAATATTCAAAGTGGCATATAAGGATGGATGCCGCACGTGAGAGTAGTTTTATGTGACTCAAGGCCTTAAAAACTCTTGTCCTACCCAACTGCCTTAATTGGTCTCGAACTCCACTGGGTATTTTTAGTGTTTGAGCTATTTTCCCTCTGCTCCTCTTCTCCCCATTCAAGGCCACATAGTCTTCAAACGCTGTCTCTTGCACCCTATCGGAACATGTACAGACACTGCTGGGTTGATTATACACAGTACAGCGACATCATCAGCTACCCTCCCGGCTATCATGCATCCCCTCCGAAAGGCGCCAGTCGATAGTTGTCATGCCTGCTTAGACAGCTGCAAAGACTTTTCCCCACACGCCGCAGCTTTGCTGAAGTGTCAACAAAGCATCACAACTCCTGCACGTGTGACTGTTGAGTGCCACTTATGTTGTTTCCTCTGTGTAGGAGAGTCCGTGTCTGTTATTAAACACACCGACCCAGTGCCAGACCCCCGCGCAGTCAACCAGGACAAGAAGAACATGCTCTTTTCTGTAAGTGATCTGTGAGGTGCATTTTGGGGTCTCAAACATCTGTTACGATGAAACTTCCAAGTGGAGGCTCAAACTGACACCCTGAAAAATGATTGAACTGGATCAGCAAGATTAAAAGTAACATTTTTCCTGAATGAGTTAACTTGTATAAATCTGCTCGGTTAAAATAAATGTTTGTAATAGATGTTTGTCTAGCTCAAATTGTATTTAGCACTCAGAACATTTTCTGGAAAACCGACAGCTCGGTACTATCATGTCTTTAAATTGCTCGTTGTTTGGTTTGACTTAACACTCGTGTAATTTTCCCAAAATCTTTGGGTGGATTCAAACTTGTACTACTTTTGGTCCAATACTACTGGACATGTGTGAAATATTTTTCTATCCATGTTGTTAAATACATGACAACTTCTAGTTCTTGGTTTATGAAATGAATTGTTAGTTATAGTTGACTGTTTTCATGGTGCCCGGGAGGGGTTGAACCGATTAGTCCCCCTAATTACAAGAACGTCACTCAAAAAGCTGCGGTTTTAATCTATTTTGTTCTCTCTTTTTAAAATTTGTCTACATGACGGGCTATTGAAGTATATCTGACCGGTTTGTCACATAATTGAACTCCAACAATCTTTTCAGTTTTTCAACCCTTAGTCCAAAGCTCAGGATAGTCATCCGTCTACTTTCATGCTTCCACCCAGGAACCTGATGTGTTACCTCCCTTTCTTCCCAGGGCACCAACATTGCAGCCGGCAAGGCTGTCGGTGTGGTGGTGGCCACAGGTGGGAACACGGAGATCGGTAAAATCCGCGACGAGATGGCTGCCACGGAGCAAGAGCGCACACCACTGCAGCAAAAGCTGGATGAATTTGGACAGCAGCTGTCTAAGGTAATGCGCTCGTGTTGTTCAGTGATGCGCCGTTTCGATTTCGTGCTACCTAAATGACAGCATTTCTGATCGCTCGCTATTGTTATGCTTCAGGTCATTACGCTGATCTGCATCGCCGTGTGGATCATCAACATTGGACATTTCAACGATCCCGTCCACGGAGGCTCTTGGATCCGCGGGGCTGTCTACTACTTCAAGATTGCTGTGGCGCTGGCAGTGGCGGCAATCCCCGAAGGTAAGCCGTGCCGCCCTATCTGTCAACAGTTATTTAGGCCACGGGTGAATCAAACATAATGTCAAGTTTTGTATTATCTGACGTGACGTTACTGTCTTTCTGTTAATGAAACGTTCTCCCCATGTCGTTGCTCTTCAGGGTTGCCTGCGGTCATCACCACTTGTCTGGCTTTGGGGACACGACGCATGGCCAAGAAAAACGCCATCGTCCGTAGTTTGCCCTCCGTGGAGACCCTTGGCTGCACATCGGTCATCTGCTCGGACAAGACCGGCACACTGACGACCAATCAGATGTCTGTGTGCAGGGTAAGAAACGGCGGCACTCCGGGACACACCGTGAATCGGAAGCTTTCGTTGTAGGGATGGGTAGATCGATACCAAAATATTGATATTTCCATCCAGAGTGCTCAATTTTATGTATCGATCCTCAAGCTAAAGTATCCATATTTGAAATTAGTTTGTTTTCTTCATCTTTATTTTTTTGTCTATTTTTCTGCATACAAACTACTTTTTCTTCCACCTTCTGCACGCACACAAGCACCGGGGTCTCCTCCCGCCCATTGGAATCATGTTACTGTATTGAGAAGTGGAGAGGAGAGGGATTTTTACGTTTAATTAGATTAATTGTCTGCGTTCGAAACGTTCAATTTGTTTTTCGTTGTATTAGCTCCATTTGCTAAGACTTTAGTTTTCCCCCTATAATCTATTTGAAACGTTTATAAATCTTATCTTTTTATGGTTCCCTCTGTCTTTTCCTCTGTAACCTTCTTTTGTTACCCCGCGCCCAAAGCACGGCCAGACCGGATGTGGATTTGTTTGTGGGAGTTCGTCACTTGCAGCACAAGTGGCAGTGAAGTTGCATAATTGACCTTGTGGGAAGAGCACGGCCCCTTCTTCCTGTGTCTCCAGCATTTTTTTTCTTCTTATTTTTGTAGTACACTGCTGCCATCTGCTGGATACTGTCAGTCCCATTTTCCTGCAGAACCTCCACAAGTCTGATTGTTAATATCTTATCCATACATTTTGTTTGTTTTCCAGATGTTTATCATCGACCAGGCTGAGAGCAGTCATTGTTCCTTAAAGGAATTCACTGTTACCGGCTCCACATATGCTCCAGATGGACAAGTGTGAGTCTTAAGCGTTTTAATACAAGACAAGTCATCCGGTTGCACTGATATGACCTTCAGGTCTCGTTGATAACTGGCTGTTTTGTCATGTGCGTTCCTTTAGGTACCAGGATGGAAAACAAGTCAAATGTTCCAAATACGATGCACTGGTGGAGCTGGCCTCCATCTGTGCTCTCTGTAACGATTCCTCGTTGGACTATAATGAGGTGGGTTGGCATTTGCACTACGGTACTTCTACTCTGCTGTTGGGTCGTGAGTTCTGTGATATGAATGTTCTTCCCCCCCATTTCCAGACCAAAGGTGTGTATGAGAAGGTGGGTGAGGCCACCGAGACGGCTCTCACATGCCTGGTGGAGAAGATGAACGTGTTCGACACAGATTTGAAAGGCCTTTCCAAGATCGAGAGAGCCAATGCCTGCAACTCTGTATGCAACATTTACTTTTCCTTTCTTCCAAATATGAAAGATGAAACCAAGACTAACCGGCTTTGTTGCGTTGTTGTTAAATGAAAGTACTGATTGCGTGTGCGTCTGTTGTATTCAACATGCAGGTAATCAAGCAGCTGATGAAGAAAGAATTCACATTAGAGTTTTCCAGAGACAGAAAGTCCATGTCTGTGTATTGCACCGCCAACAAGGCCCGCTCATCTGCATCCAAGATGTTTGTCAAGGTAGGTTACATCCAATCATTTCGGATGCTTGCTTACCGTTAGTGAGATTTTGTCCTCTGCTACTCACAGTCATAGTGGCTCAACACTTGACTTGCCAAATGAACACAAATGACCAGTATCACATTGAGATTGTGAAAACCCCTCATTTATACCCTTCTTGTTAGACGTGCATGGATTTAAACCCTAAAAGTTGGTGCGCTCTCTAAACAGGGTGCCCCTGAAGGAGTGATTGACAGGTGTACGCACGTCCGCGTAGGTGTCAACAAGGTGCCCATGACACCCGGCATCAAGGACAAACTGATGTCTGTGATCAGGGAATACGGAACTGGCCGGGACACCTTGCGCTGTCTCGCTCTGGCCACCCGAGACAACCCCTTGAACAAGGAGGACCTGGTCTTGGAGGACTGCACTCGCTTTATTGACTATGAGGTAAATACAACTTGCTCGTGGTGGAATTTTGTTCTGCCACTCTCAACAAATCGTTTTAATCAGCTGCATAATACTTGGAAGTCCAAGAAATAAAATGTTTTGTCAATTTCCTCAGACCGACCTGACCTTTGTGGGCTGTGTGGGCATGCTGGATCCGCCCCGGGCAGAGGTGGCGGCTTCCATTAGACTCTGTCGTCTCGCTGGCATCCGAGTAATTATGATCACAGGAGACAACAAAGGTATGTTGGCGAGTGCTTTGTACAGCCGAGGTCCTTTCTGTGCACTGCTTCGTCCCTTATTAGAGTGAGCTTGGATGTGCAAAATAAAGAACATGAACCATCGTTGACCATTCCGACAAATCTTTGTCTTCCTCAAAGCCCAAAATCTAAATAATACGCTCCTTCTGGTCATTAAAGGCACGGCAGTTGCAATCTGCAGACGCATTGGTATTTTTGGAGAGGACGACGACGTCGCCAGCATGGCTTTCACCGGCCGAGAGTTTGACGATCTCAGCCCGTCTGCACAACGCGAAGCGGTGGTCAAGGCTCGCTGCTTTGCCCGCGTGGAGCCGTCCCACAAGTCCAAGATTGTCGAGTATCTGCAGTCCTATGATGAGATTACAGCAATGGTAAAGGAGTGCTGACGTTTGGTGATCTCAAATGATACTTTGAATTTGGAAGATTGGAGGTTGATTGTGGGTCTCGCGTCGCGACTTATGCACATTTCAGACCGGTGACGGAGTGAATGATGCCCCCGCCCTCAAGAAGGCCGAGATTGGTATTGCCATGGGCTCCGGAACAGCAGTTGCGAAGACGGCGTCCGAGATGGTGCTGGCCGATGACAACTTTGCCACCATTGTGGCCGCAGTCGAGGAAGGCCGGGCCATTTACAACAACATGAAGCAGTTCATCAGATATCTCATCTCCTCCAATGTGGGCGAAGTTGTCTGGTAAGGGGGTGCCCACAATTTCATTTTTATCTCAGCGTGCGCACAGTTATTCTGATTTCATTTTTTCCTCTGCTTGTGTGTGTCTGTCTGTCTGCAGCATCTTTCTGACGGCAGCCCTCGGCTTCCCTGAAGCACTCATTCCAGTTCAGCTGCTTTGGGTCAATCTGGTGACTGACGGTCTGCCCGCCACCGCTTTGGGCTTCAACCCACCAGACTTGGACATCATGAACAAGCCCCCCCGCAACGCTCGCGAGCCCCTCATCTCGGGGTGGCTCTTCTTCCGATATCTTGCCATTGGATGTAAGTCGACCAATGTCTCGGTGGAATGAACGCAGAGTGATGTGCATGTAAAATAATTAACCACCACCATGTCTGGAAATTACCTGTCAATAATTCTGTCAGCTTTTTCAAGTGCGATAATGTTCTTCCACATATTGACCTTCACTCTAAAAATAATGGCCAACGTCATACTTTGACTGTGTATTGCAATGTTGTTCTTGCTGTGCTTCACCAGGCTATGTAGGCGCTGCAACAGTGGGCGCCGCTGCCTGGTGGTTTGTCGCTGCCGAAGATGGACCAAGGGTCACATTTTACCAGCTGGTATGAATTTTAAGCCTCACTTGTATGATCCCAACTGAGGGCAAAATTCACTAAAAGATTTTTTTGTCTGGTGTTAACTGGTCAAAATAGAGCAAACAGATCGCGATTCAGACGTGATCTGTCTGCTCTACCAGCTGGTATGAATTTTAAGCCTCACTTGTATGATGCCAACTGAGAGCAAAATTCACAAAAAGATTTTTTTGTCAGGTGTTAACTGGTCAAACAGATCGCGATTCAGACGCGATCTGTTTGCTCTGTTTTGACATGCGCAGATGGTAAAATGCATCACTAACTACGATGCCAAGCAGAATACATCTCGATTCGCCGGTGGTATTTGCGCCTCACTACCTGAGGTAATATGCACATATTTGGTGGAGCAACTGGCCACCTCTAAACTGCTTCTAATTTACGGACATCAGGGCCAATAGCCCCACACCGTTATGGGGGAGGAAACTTAATCTATAGAAAGTTGGTATGAAATTGGCGCTTCTGAGTGGAAGCCTCATTTGAGTGATGGAACGCAATGTGAGTTGTCCGGATTTGGCCCTCAGTGCGTTAGCAGTCTGCCCAAAGTTCCAATAATCTATAGAAAGTTGGTATGAAATTGGCGCTTCTTAGTGGAAGCCTCATTTGAGCGATGGAACGCAATGTGTGGGAAAACTCGGACATGCACAAGACATGTCGTCCGGATTTGGCCCTCAGTGCGTTAGCATTCTGTCCAAAGTTCCAGCGTGTGTTAACCATTGCTGTCGTGGTATTTATTTGTTTTGCTTCCAGAGCCACTTCCTGCAGTGTGGACCAGAAAATGCAGACTTCCAGAATATAGACTGTAAAATATTTGAGTCTCCTTATCCGATGACCATGGCCCTGTCGGTGCTGGTCACCATTGAGATGTGCAACGCTCTCAATAGGTTGGTTTTGTGTTTTTATTGAGCGGTGTAACAACTATTCCACAAACGTGGTACCAAAAGGGTTGCTTTGTGTTTCAGCGTATCTGAGAACCAGTCTCTGCTACGTATGCCTCCCTGGGAGAACGTATGGCTGCTGGGAGCAATCTGCCTTTCGATGTCCCTTCACTTCCTCATCCTCTACGTGGAGCCTCTTCCGGTAAAATAATGAATCAGATAAAAATTGAACACATGCGCATGCGGGGGCCCACTTGGGCTCAGCATCCTCACATTGCAGTGGAGGATCTGTGACTTTAAATGTGTATGGCTTTAAAATGCGGTCCTGGCCAGGTGAGTGACGTGGGTATCAGTGAATGAGAGTTTAGACTGGGCGAGCTATTAATGGGGCACAAATGGTCACGTGGACTTAGACGCAGCACTCACAATTTTTTCCTATTGTCCTGCCAGATAATCTTCCAGATCACCCCTCTGAATCTGACCCAGTGGCTGGTGGTGCTCAAGATCTCACTGCCGGTCATTTTACTGGACGAGGTTCTGAAATTTGCGGCCAGGAACTACCTGGAGCCGGGTAAAGAGCTGGAAAAGGCCGCCAGCTCGGACGGCTGCTGCCTGGCTGCATGCATGGAGGGCATCTCCTGGCCCTTCGTGGCCCTCTCCCTCCCCCTGGTCCTCTGGATCTACAGCACCGACACTAACATGGCCGACATGTTCTGGAGCTGACTGACTTGAGCACAACCTCGACTCTTCCATCACCCACCCGCCCCACGCCTCCCATTCACTCCTCCACCCCCCTCTCCCCCATCCCTCTCTGCCCACCTTCACGTGCGTAGCTTGTGTGTGTGAGTGTTGTTTGTTTGTAGAAATAGTGTGGGTGTGTCGATGCGGAGGAGCAACTGTAACCCATGAAGTGCAACAGTACTCTAAATTCCCTTTGAGAAGTCACCCGATTTGAGTTGGCCCAAGGCTTTAGCTGACCATCACTCACATAGAAGTGGACGAGATTGTTCAACAGTTGCCATTTTTCAATTTTATTTTTAAAAATAATTTCCATGCCTTTTTAAGCTTTCTCCTTTTGTTTTTTTTGTTTTTTTACCGAAATGTCATCAGTCAGGTGGCACAAAGGTAACTATTATTTCGCGCAACTTCCCTCCTTCTGAAAAGAAAGTTGGGGACTCAAGAAAATTGTGGATCTGTCTTCATATGGAGTTTACTCCAGCCCATCATTTCAGTATAAAATACTAAAATCTTAAAAGATTCTTAACTCCCAATGCATTCATTTTCTGTAATGCTTACCCTATTCGTGGCTGCAAAGCTAAAGGTCAAGAGAACACACAAAGGGGTATCCCAGTTATATTTACAGCACTTTATAGGCTATTTAAGTAATGTCCTCTTTCAGTGAAAGTGTCCCCAGCCAGGCTTTAATTAATTTTTTTTTTTGTTTGTTTTTTTTTAAATGGCTTTGTAAATTTGTTGGACCAGCGTGACTTAGACGTACTGCCTTGATGTTTCTTTTCTAATTAACCATTGTGTCTTCAGTGTAAACGTTTTTCAGAGGACAAGCGATGCGTGGCAGACAAGAACTGGGGTGGGAAAGGTTTGAGAGTGAATGTTGGAATGGTCCAATCAGATGATGTGGGGGGGAGAATATTCCGACAAAAAACCAAAACTAAACTGCATGTCCAGTGACCAAGCATGAACTGTATATGGTTGCTCAATTCTAATTTAATTATGTGTCCCTTCTACTCCAAAATGTAAGACTAGAAATTAACATAATGGATTTTGTTTTTTCTTTAGTGATATGATTTGAAAGAAGTCATTTTTTTTCTGCACTGGGAAGATCACAGCTACCTCAATGTGATACAAATGTTTTTTTTTTTCTTTCTGTTCATTTCTGGATGCTTCCCCAAGAGTCTGTCTTGCTCAGCTGTGTACCATCTGAGGTTTGGCGCCCCCTGGGTTGCTTGTGCAGAAAAAGGAACAGTTTTACTTCCCTCTAATTTAGAAAAAAAATCCTTTTGCATGTTTTTTTTTTTTTTTACATTCCCACTTTCGAGACCAAGTCATTCAAGATTGTGTACATAACCGTCTTGATGTTGATTCAAAGGACAATAATACAAAGAACCGATAAATACGACTCAAAAAAAGATATCACGTGATTTACCCCAAATATTTTTTTTTCCCTTTAACTTCAAAAAAATATATATACTTATGAATCCTTTGAATCAAAGTGTTTGTCATTATTTGCTTGAAGGAACATTACCCATGTGTGTGTGGGTGGGTGTGTGTGTGTGTGCAACGAATTTCACATAGGAATGCTTGGCTTTTAGATGAGTTTGGTACTAAATATTGACCATATTTGGTGTGAACATGTTTGAGTGTCCGTCCAGTTCATGAATTTAACACAAAAAGATATCGAAAGCATGTTAGTGGTGATAGAAGCCTGGATGTGTTTGTGTACCACTTGACAACATTGATGTGCTTTTTCTTCCTTCAATGCCCTCCACTGGCTCCCCTGTCACGAGAGTGAGTATTTCTCGTTTCTTCCCCCCCACCCCCCACACTTGATTTACAAAATGACTCAAGACCAGAGTTTTCACTGCCCCGTTTTATTACGTCGACTGAAGTCGACGTATGCTTCTCATAGTCAGAGGTGCCAAAGATGTGAATTGTAATAGGAATCTACATCCGTGCGGCCCACATGCTCACATTGTGAATGTCACTTGTGTGCCACCCCTTCCTACCCACCCCTCCCTCCTCCACCCTTGCTTGAAATTATCCACATCAACACGATCATGCGCTTAAATGGCGATGATCTGACAGGGTTTTTCTTTTTCCTAGGTTGGCTGCCCTAAAAATCTTGAATACTTTAACGAGGACCAAGCCGTCGTCATTCATTCCGCACGCCGTGACGATGATGTATGTCCACTGAGAAGAAAAAAAATACTGATGCAACATTTGGTTTTAGAGATCACGTAATAAGTTGCCCTTTTTCTATGTACATAAAAAGCCAATTTCTTTCACTTTTTTTTCTTTTTCAAATCTGAATCTTTGGTGTGCACTTGTCCTTCGCCATGACGATCCATCCATCCATGTGGCGTATCAAGATGCCGATTAGATGGCATGACTATTGCCCAGGTGTGCTAAGGAAAGGCTAAATTTGTACAGTTCCAAGACTTGCTGCATTGCGGCAATCATTTATTTTTAATTCACATCGTATTTCTGACCATGCCACCAGACCCCACTGCAGTAGAAGTGCAGTGGAGAGTGGCCTTTCTCTGGGCAGCGTTTTGGTATACCACACCTGCGAGGTGGATGAATTGTTAAGGCGAGGGAGGCACTCATATAGCCGTTGAAAGATCTGTGAACACTTGGAGCGTATTAGGGCTTTTGCGCATATAGAAATATTCACCTTGTGAAAAATGGGAGCCAAAAAAAAAAATTTGATGCAATTTATATTTTTGTTCAGAATGCGTGCGTTATTTTTTATTTTTTTTTTTTTTTGCACAGAGGAAAAGATTTTCACAAGAAATAGACCAAATACAAGATGCTTTTAATATGGTATTGATTTTACACTCACTTCCATGCAGCTTTCCTTTTTAGTGTGCAGGGAAGTTCAACACACCCAACATGTCCCTCCATTCGAGCCTGCTTCCCCTCTTTCATGGTAGTTTTGACTTGTAGGGACTTCTTAACATTCGGGCGCCTTGGTCTTAGCTTGCATTTTGTGTACAAACATCGTGCATGCCTTGCAGCTGTATGTAGGCTTTACAGTTTGTAATTATAGATTGTAATGTAGAAATACTCTTACATGAAGACTTAAGGTTTTAAGATGGTTCGATAGTAGACTTTTTGAAATCACTGTTTTTATTGTCATGTTTGCATAATTAGAAACGACACATCAAAATGAACTTGGCTGTGCACTACGAGGTCTAGGCCAGTCGATTTTCTGTCT